CAATATATATTTTAAAGTAGTAGAAGTTTCAATATTCCTATTTAAAGACCAAAACAATAAGAAATAAAAAAACAATAAAAATAAAATTAATTTCTTAGAAATAAGAAGATTAAATAATAATGGCGTTAATCGTTTTAGTATTTGAAGAGAGTAATGAATAGAATTGTTCTGAACATGTAATAATTTCGCTTTTCATGCTCTCTCTCTTTCTCTCGCTCTCTTCTGTAGAATACGATACGAATCTGCACCGCCGTCTCCTTTGCGTAGATCGACATAAATCATCGTTATCGTTAACGGCTAAGCGCGCTGCGTATTGCCTGTTCTCCCTTATCTCATCGCCGCTGGTATGTACATGTGTCCCACTTTAGCAAACGATAACCGATAAACGTCCCGATAATTTTACACAGCGGCGCAAACTATTTTTCGACAATGCCGGTTAAAATCCCAGTTTAATTAAAAAAAAGTAGGTCATACGTGTCTCCCACGTGCGCAAAATAATCGCGCTGCTCTAAATTAAAACAGCGGACACAGAACGGTGGCTCGGGGGCTTTACGCGTCCCTTCAGCTTTCATTGCAAAACGCATTTTTCGCCGCGAGTGTTCCTTCCTGCCGCATAAGTAAGCCCGACCTTTGCATAAATTCCCCAAGATCTCACGTATCCCGGAAATTTTTTGTGCGCAAAGAGCTCCTCGAGCTGTGAAAGTATCGCGAAGAATTTCTGTGTCGCCGTTCGTGCGACATAAGAGCTTTTTTGTATCTCGTTGAGTTTAACGTGTATTCGACCTCGACGGGATATTTCGCGTTGTGGAAGTTATCTTTAGAGACGCGTAGTGTTGGTGGCGTTCGCAAACAATCGTGGTTTAACGTGACGAGAGCGGCGCCGAAGCTTTCTTCGCGGTCGGCGATTTCTGGGTCAGTTTATCGATGTCGCCGGACAATATACCGTGTCGAGACATTGTGGGTTGGCGGCGTGGTGAGGACGGACAGAGGGAAAAAGGGGGATGCTCGATGGTTTAGCAAACTTCGTTACGTGAGCGGATCCCATTTTATCCGGGGCTATGTCTACAGGATATTCGGCGCGAATTACCGTGGAAAATCGATTACTCGGCGTGGCATATTAAATGTCCTTATTTAACTCTGCCGATAGATTTTTCAGTGCCAAGCGGAAGCATCAGGAACTTCCGGAACAACGTCCGGACACAACCAAATACATCAGGAACAACATCAAGGAAAGGATGTATCTGCTTGATGGCTACCTGGGGGAAAATCTACTCCACCTCCTAAACCTCGTAAACATGAAGGAAGGAACTGATGTTCCTTCTAGGTCGTCGATCGTAACTGTGAATTTTTCAAGCGTCGGTGTAAATCGTCCTGTAAATTTTTATGCTGGATTGCAGGCACGAGGAATGATCTCCTTTTACAACGGACGAGTGGCGCGCTCTTAGAAGGATGTTTAATAGACTTTTATCGTCATGGCGATGGTGACGAGTGCTTCTCTCTTCACTGCTTCACGGACTTATTTATCGTCTTAAATTACTCACGCAAGAGCGGGTATTCGGCGACTGTTGTCCTTTAACGGAATCAGAAACTGAAGAGAAAGAGAGAGAAAGATAGAGAGAAAGACAAAACTCCTGGTAAATTGTAGCTAAAGTTAATTGATATTTTAGTAATTGGCCATTAAAAATCACAAAAAGAGAATCCTGAATTGTTTCTACCTGCGCTTATATTAAACGTACGCGCGCATCTATCTGCGTATCTGAGTGGCCATCGATCGTCGAAGAACGACGAAGCACGAAGGGAGGAAAATTTCAAAGGTTGACAAAGAGACGCGGTCTCATCGGTTGCCATTATCACACCTGCTGGCGTGACTTATCGCGTCGTCACCTCGCGACGGCTGACGAGAGATCTGCGACTAGTCAAAAGTCTGTCATCGTCATTATTGGCGCGCGTTAATTATCCTTTTCGTTCGGCGAACAGACCGGAACGACGGCGTCGCCATCGCCGTCGCCGTCGTCGTTGATGACGTTCGAGGATGCATCGCACTCTTCCGGGTCACCGGCTATATCGGGACCATCCTACGAAGGTGGGTGGCCTCGATGCCTACGTACGGCAACCGATAACCAAGTATTTAATTAGGCTCAGCGCCGCTGAGGAGGAAGAGGGATGGCGAGTGGAGGGCGGATGAGCGAAGTCGCGAGGCAATCCGGACGCTGGCGCAATGCGGTCTTCGGCCGACCGAGCCGTAATCACGATTGCTAATTACCGTGGAAACACGACGGTGATCTTCGTTACCGAGCTGTAACGTGCGAATAAGGAGGCCTCGCGTCGTTGTGAGCGAGTCGAATAGCCGATGATTTCGTTCCTCTACGCGATAAGACGCCTCGTGGAACGAAAGAAGGGAATACTATCTTCAAGAGAATCAATAAAAATATTTCTAGTCGAGTCAATGAAACGATTGTGATGATCAGTAAGTGTCCACTGATTTTCAATGGAAACGCTAGAGTTCTCACTGAGAACTCACCGATTTTGACTGGTGGAAGTATTCTCTAAATTTCTTGGAGTGGAATTTCATTCGGAAGATATATTGACAGCAATCACTTGAATTCGAGTTACTTTTCACTTCTATAGAGTGAATTCTACACTCGGAATCGTTGAGTGAATATTTTCACTTGCAATCGAAGAGTGAATCTGGCGCATTTCACAGGGGAACATATTCACTCCAATCGATTGAAACATCCACTCATATAGAGTCAGAATCCGTTTTGAGTGAAACATTCACTTTTGTGATTACGAATGGCAGCATTTTCACTATTGTCTCGAGTGAGTTTTGAGTGAGTGTTTTATTCCAAGAAATTTAGAGAGTAAGATTTCACTGCAAAATCTGTAATGTACAAATTCGTTACACGCTATACCAAATCCAACTTTCTGCGCTTGTGACGACTGAATTGTTTCCATGCCTTGCCTTGCGCGCAATGTTCGTGTTTGCAAAATGCATCAATAATGGAAGTTATTAACTGATCCCTTCAGCGAGATTTCACTGACTGCAGTGCTACATTTCTAACTGTGAACCACTACTTATAAATATAGTATTCCAGTGAAGGATATACTGACTGTACTCTAGAAAGCGGATTGCGTGTCTGCCTGATGCGGCTTGTAATTTACGATACGTTCGTATAGTTTGTTCCCTTGAAATTTTGGTAAGATGAATATGTAACGAATAGGTGAATTTCTCCGTAGAGAAAAAGAAAATAATCTTGACCCGCTCCTCTTCCCCATTTTCGTTGATATTTTAATATAAAAACCACTCTTTGATAGCGCGTCGAAGAAAATTGCAAAAAGCACCTTTCCTCATATCTTTGAACCTTTACCGTGTATATTTTTAATCGCGAGATCTTTGTAGCGACGATTTTGTCCTATCCACTTTCTATTCTATGGCGATCTTGTCTTTGAATTCAAGATAAATAAGAGTAGACTTCACGACTAATTTTACGTCGTGTCGTCTCGAATGCTGCATTATCTACTATTTCCTTTTCACCGTGGCTCCCTCTCATTTTTCATCCACCGTCTATTTTCTCTAAAATTGCGTAAGTTCAGACGGTGATCAAGGTAGAAAATGTTCGTCGTCGGGGCATCGCTCTTAGCTCATCATGCTGTCCTTGGATGAAACGCACTGATTTTTTTCGGAACAAAAGGGACACGGAGTACTTTGTGCGGAGTTAACATCCCGAAGAGCTGTTCTACCGTCCAATAATTGTCGTGGTCGCAAATTAATGAGAGACGCGGCAGAGCTACCGATTGATCTTCTACGGGAATTGTACTCTCCCGACGACCGCGTGCGTATTAATTCTCCGTGGAGAGCCAATAATCTCGCTCCTGTGAAAGGGTCCCGATTGTAATGGACGAAAATAAAGCAGTAGATAGTATTTCAGCTTTATATTTCTCGATCGGAAAGTGAATGGTCCTTCTTAACACATATCGAGTCGTTGACTGAGCAATTAATCTTCTCGATTTCTCTGTGATTCTGAACAAACATGGTTATCTTTCTTCTCGGAGATTTCATGATGTTAATATCCTCCAGTTATACAATTACGCAAAAGTTCAAGATGAGTTATTGCAAGTATTCGCGCACGTGTCAGCCAGATAGACAAGTGTATCTTATCCATTAACCTTACAAGTGACCCTACGAGTAGCTCATTTAGCACACTTATATAATATTTACATCTAAAAAATATAATCTCATCCTTAACGGAACTTTCTTATATATGTTACGATCTCAAGAGGATTCTTTTAAAACTAAAAGGGAAATATTCCAAGCGTAATATTATTCTTCTTCATTAGAAGAGAAATACCTTTTCGGTAAAAGTTTTCGTTTAGAATGACAGGAAATAGAGC